ATTTCATCCTCCACCCCGCCAACCGTTCCTCAGCCCTAGTCAGGATATGAGAGAAGGTCGATTTGGTGACCCGATTGTGGATCACTGGTATCCCAGGTAGTTTCCAAGGTTGTCCCTCTGTGTGAAACGAAGCGCATCCGCTAGACGGTGTTGCTCCTCAAGCCCCACGTTGCGTGAAAAGAAGACTTGCGTTTTGTCCGAGCTAATCTTGAGGCCCGACAAATTACAGAAGCGGTCAAGGACTTGGTTAAGGATCCCTACTTGATCTTCTGAAGCTTCCAGGAATAGGAGGAGGTCATCGGCGAACATCAAGAATGGCACATTAACAGTCCCTCTCCCAACAGAGACCAGTTTCCAAGTTTGTCGATGGACCGCCTGGTCAATGAGTTGAGCCAACCGCTCCATATAGAGCACGAAAAGGTATGGGGAGATAGGGTCACCTTGCCGAACTCCTCTGGTGGGTTGGAATTCGTCGCCTAGTGCTCCATTCCAAATCAGTCGCATCGATGATGACCGAACACAAGCCATAATAGCCTTGATCATTGAGTTGGGGTAACCGGCTTGGTGTAGGGTTTCTTCGAAAAATACCCATCGAAGAAAATCATAGGCTTTCTCAAGGTCCACCTTTATGACCATATGGCATATCGCTCCTTGCTTACGACGTATGGAATGGATCAGCTCGTGCGCCACAACAATATTATCTACGATTTGGCGACCTGGGACAAAGCTGGCCTGGGCCGGGTGAATTAAGCCAGTAAGAGAGTTCTTCATCCGATTAACTAGAACCTTCGTGAAGAGTTTGTAAATGACATTCAACAAGCTGATCGGCCTGAATTGCTTGATGGTGGAGGGATTGTCAACTTTGGGAATGAGCACCAATAAGGTTTGATTGATGTCGTTGGGGACTATACCGTCACGCCACATATGGCAAATGAGATCCCGGACTGACTGACCCACTGTGTCCCAATTCTTTTTATAAAATAGAGCATTGAGCCCGTCAATCCCCGGGGCTTTTAAGGAGCCCATACTTTTTAGGACCGAGGATATTTCATCGTCCGATATCTCGTCCTCCATGGCTTGCATGATTTCCGTGCCGCAACTTTGGAACAGGTTTGGTATCCCTTCGGTTGCAACTGGGTCTTGCCCTCCCGAATAGATCGATTGGAAGAAATCTGTTGCGAGCTGCTGAAGGGCCTGTTGGTCCGAGATATGATGGCCCGCTTCGTTCACCAGCTCCGTTATTCGTCCGCTTCGTCTACGGAATTTGAGTTGACGATGAAAATATGATGTGTTTCTATCCCCCAGATGCGTCCAATCTCTCGTGGATTTCTGGAGCAGAAGTAGCTCCTCTTGGAGAATGACATCATCTTGCTCCGCGTGAAGTTGTCGTTCTAGGGCCATAAGTTTATCCGAAAAATAATAATGCCGGCTCCGTTGTATACCCCCAATACGTGCGAGGAGCCTTTTCTTTCGTTGAAAAATATTACCAAATACTGTGTGGTTTCATTCCTTGGCCGCTGTAGTAAATTTCCGGGCCGCTTCAGTAAAACACAATGTAGGGAGCCATGAATCCTTAAGC